GGGCCCCCCCCCCCCCCCCCCCCCCCCCCCCCCCGCTAGACCCTGCCCGGCGGGTCTCCGGCTGCGCTGTGCCTGGGACCCGAGGCCGGCCGGAGTGAAGTGAAGCCCCCTGGGAACCAAGTGCAAAGTCTGCCTCGAAGAGACGCCGCCACGCGTGGCTTGAGCTGAACCGTGTTTCCTGCAAGGGCAGGGGTCCACAGCGCGCGTCCGCCCGCCTGCCAGGCTGGGTCTGTCCGCCCTCGCCGGGCCGGCACTTGCGTGTGTGTCCGCCTCTTCCCGTTCTCCGTGCTGACGAAGGGAAGTGATGTGCGGCACGGTTGTTTGTATGTCACCTGTCAAACCACCGAGCTGATGAAAAAAGTCAATGACTAAGTATTAGGGATGTGAAAGTGTAACTGTATAAACAGTTGACTGATGAGCCCTCGCTCATTGGTTAACGTTCACTGTTACATGTAGCCTCCTGAAACAAAATACAGGTCTACGTTGCACTTTAAAGACTAACAAGATGGTTTATTACAGGGGTGTCCAAACTTTTTTCAAAGAGGGCCAGATTTGATGAAGTGAACATGCGTGAGGGCCAACCATTTTGCCTGACATTCTTTGAACCATTAAAATTAAATGCAAATTAACTATTTTATGCAAAGTTTATTGCAAACGGCATACTTTTCATTTCGTCACATGGATGACAAATCTAAACAGGTGTTAAATCACTCTGCCTTTCATATCTGAAGGCCAGATGAAAAAAAAAATCCAGGAAGCTGAAATATATGTCAGGAACATTGTAAAGTACATTACATATTATTGGTAATAAAGGTTGTCTGTCAACTTTTAAGTTCAAAAAATATGAACAGGAACATAACACCAAGTATACATGTTGTGTCCAAATATATTTATAACTGATTTAGACCAACTGACTTTAACTGAGATTTTACAATGTATTCATCTCAATACATATGGATTCATTGGGGGCCATAAAAGATAGATATTGCCAAATTACCCGAGAAAATAGTCACAACCATATATACCAAAGGATACAATTTAAAAAAAATGAACACACATGAAAAGGACAAATCACATTACAGAACAGAAGGGGGATGTGGGGGAGGGGGGGGAGGAGGTGAATGCCAGTGAGTTAATGATATTAGAGGTGGGGAAGGGGAGATGTCTGTGAGTTAATAGAATTAGAGGTGATAATGGGGGAAGCTATCTTTGTAATGGGTAAGATAGCTGGGGTCTTTAAGTCCCGTGCGGAGAGTGTCGAATTTTAGCATGAATGCCAGTTCAGAGGCTCCTGATATGCAAGGAGAGCCAGCACTGATGTCTCTGATACAGCGTGGGGTGGCAGGCAGGAGACGACTGCAGCCTCACGTGTAACTGCTGAAAACTTCAGTGGCTACACAGTTACTTAATTACATTTTAACATCCCTGGTAGATATAGTATGGGTTTGGAACAAACAGGCTGGAAATCCTATAAAGGCAGTATAGCTAACTCCTTGAAATACTTTCAAGACATTCTCTTCATTTTTGAGTCTTCATTAAGTTTCTGTGAGTTGTGGCTTGTTTCTTTCTTATTTATTTTGGTGGAGATCTACCATAATTCACAGCTCAAAATAAGCATGAGAAACTGTGAATAGATATTTGGAAATTTATATTTTTCTGGGTGGCTGTGTGAAGAGGCGTTTAAAACTGCTAAAATACCTGCTAGTTTACATGAGAACTGTTATTTTTCTACATATCTGTCCTTTCCAGAGGGTGCTTTCAAGTAAAATACATTAATTGGTTTGGAATTTAAACAATAGTCTAGTTATGGTCGTACATTATAAAACTGCTACTTTCTTATTACAGACATTTGTATTTAGAGTTAATTCTGGTGTTTGGCTATTGTTAATTGTGCAGAACCAGCAAAACTAAGAGAGAGCCAGCTGGATCCTATTTTCGCCCACACTTCATCATAAAAATGTCTTCTGCAGTTTGGTTAGAGAAGCTTTGACTGGTGATATATGATCCCTGGATCTGCATAGCTAGGAGTTATTACAGATGTATTTTACATGTAAACAGTACTGATTTAATGTGGAAAATATTGAAATAAGCATCCAACTGTATGTATAATATCAATTCTAGTCTCTGTTTAGAATTTAACCTCACTTTTCACAATTCAGAATTCTATTGCAACTCACCATATCTGTTTGCTTGTGCTACCTAAATTCTCTCCACTTCTCCAAATAAACAAATCTGATTCCCTCCCACCATACAGATATATGGCCATGGGATTGAATTGGCTTGCCAAAAACAAAAGGAATTTGTGAAGAGCTCTGTGGAATGCAAATGGAATCTAGCAGAGGCCCAGCAGAAACTTGGTAGTTTAGCACTACATAACTCAGAGTCCCTTGACCAGGAACATGCCAAAGCACAGACTGATGCTTCAGAATTGAGACAAAGGGAGGAAGAATGGAGACAGAAAGAAGAGGCGCTAATACAGAGGGAAACACAAAATCTATGGAACATGGATTCTGTTAGCAAGGACGTATTTAATAAGGTATGAACCATATCAACGTACATAAACCCAGGTAAAAACAGGGGATAGAACTATTAGACAAATCAAGTTCTTTATATGGCACTTGTCACTAATATTGTGAGTGTCTCCTTTTATCCAGAACAGTCCATATGACAAGATTGTGTGCTGTATGAGTATCCTTTCATTTATTTTAGTAAAATCTACCAAAAAGTAGGTCTTGCACTGACATCAAAACATAGAAATGTTTCTGTGCTGCTAGCAGAGATCTAAAATTGTATTGTCCCAAAACAGCAGTTATCTCCAAATGATCAAATACTACCTTGGTCATCTTAAGTTTGATAGTGAACTTATACATAAGACACAAATAGGTATTTCTCAGAGTCTTTGAAAGACTCAATACCTTGCTACCTGTCATGTTAGAATCTCTTTGGTAGAGGACAATGCTATTCCAAGCTGTAATCCAGGGCCAGATATTAAAATGAGTCTTTTTTTTTTTTTTTTTTTTTAAATCTGTGTTAACAGTAAAAAGTTTCCCAGACTCCATGTCATGTATGTGTCTGTGTTTTGCAGGCTTTGGGCCTGTACTAGAAGCATAACTTTAAAATGGAAATAAAACAAAATGATGTCCCCATAATGACATTGTTTAAAATTGCATGGAAAGGGATTTTATGAGTAAGCTTTCTCTCTCCCCCCCACAGAGTTTTATTAACCAAAATAAAATAAAAGAAATAGAAGATGAAGACAAATCCAAATCATTCATGCAGAAACATGAACAAAAAATTAGACATTTTGGTAAGTACCACTTTTTCCAGCATTTTGTAGTTTTAGCTTTTTATGCGTTATGTTAGGTACTATTGTTTTATAAAATGAGCACTTAAAAATGAAGCATCTGGCTTGCAGAGTTCAGATTTCTGATATATCAGGGTTTGTGATTTTCTTTGATAGTCATAACAAAATAGTCCTTTCCAAGTAAGAGGCTGCATGCTGTGGAAGTTTTAAGTCCTAAAGTCAATTGTGCTTTTTAGATAAACACTCTTTTAATGCTGGGCATGCAAAAGAAAGGGTTTTATTTACTTTCTGACACTTCATGAAGAGAGATACTTCAGAATTTACTGTTCTGCTATTTAAAGCAAAGCATTTTCTCAGTAGTTATCAAAAGTATATCCTTCCATGGAAATGGCAGCTAAGGAGCTACAGTTGTAATATTTTAGTTCAGGTATTAAAATCTCTTGTAGATTCAGCTTTGTTTGGTGACTGAACACAAAGTAACAACAGATTAAAGAGAATTTCAGTTATGGGGAAAAAGACTTTTAAAAAAAATACAGATCTTGAACTATGCTTAGTTGCAAACAAAAGGTGGAAGGAGCACCACTGCTAGGACAGAAGGTGTGAAGATTTCTCTTCCACTAGGTTACTGTCCTTGTAGTCTGGCGGGTCAGTGGTTCTGTTATGCTTATCCTATCCTCTTTTAGAATCCTTTCTGTGACTAGCTCTAGTTCCTGCCTAGACTGCTGCTTGGGAAAAGAGATGAGCAGTATTAGAAATTATGGCCTTATTTGCAGAATCTGAAAGAAAATGCTGCATCAGCTTAAATTCTGCAGAAACCTTCTTACCCCCGTACCATGTATTTGTGCTTCAGAGCAAGTACTATTTACTGGACATTGAGAGTCTTTTTAAAGTCCGGTGTTCAAAGATGTAAAGAATTTAATACGCATCTTTGCCATTTAAGCCACAAAAGGAATAGCTTTAATAGGCATGATGTATTTACTACTGAAAATATTTAGTCAACCATCTAGTAATAGTAAGCCAGGTATAGAATAGTTTATCCAAATGTATTAGACTGTCTACTAGGTGTCACTTTAATTATAGTTGAAATGTGATGAACACCACTACAGTCAAATGCCATGTGTTGTCATACTGTTCTGAAATCTTGATTATCTTGTTTGTGTTCCATTGTTTTGAGTCATTGGCTCCTGTACGTTTAGTGGCATAACTGATTAGGAGCTGTTGAGTACCTCATGGAAACTTGGAAATATTGTAGGGACTAATTTAGTTACAACTACTCAAGAGACAGATCTGGCAGTCATTGTGGAGAGCTCTCTGTAAACATCCACTCAATGTGCTGTGGGAGTCAAAAAAGCAAACAGAAGAATCATTACAAAAGGGATAGAGAATATCTTATTGCCTCTATATAAAACCATGGTACGCCCACATCTTGAATACTGAGTACAGATGTGTTCGCCTCATCTCTAAAAAGATACATTGGCATTGGAAAAGATTCAGAGAAGGGCAACAAAAATGATTAGGGGTTTGGAATTGATCCCATATTAAGAGAGATTAAAAAGACTTGGACTTTGTAGCTTAGAAAAGGGGAGACTAAAGGGGGATATAATAGAGGTACATACAATCATGATTGGTGTGAAAAAAGTAAAGAAGGAAAAGTTATTTACTTGTTCCCATAACATAATAACTAAGGGTCACCATATGAAATTAATAGGTATCAGGTTTAAAACAAAGAAAAGGAAGTTTTTCTTCACCAAGCACACAGTCAACTTGCAGAACTACTTGCCAGAGGATGTTGTGAAGACTAGGACTTTAACAGGGTTCAAAAAAGAACTGGATAAATTCATGGAAGTTAGGTCCATCAATGGCTATTAGCCAGGACGGATAGGAATGGTGTCCTTAGCCTCTGTTTGTCTGTAAATGGATGACAGGAAAGGGATCACATGATGATTACCTGTTGTGCTAACTCCCTTTGGGGCATCTGGCATTGGCCACTGTCAGCTGACAGGATACTGAACTAGATGGACATTTGGTATGACCTAGTATGGCCCGTTCTTATGTTAGGAATGTGACAGGCTGACCGTTTAACCAGTAGCTGATGCTTATTAGTTAATGGCATCGGTTACAGTCAGTGGGTTCCCTGGGAGGCTACTTTGCTCCAACAGGGCACCGAAGCCTCTTCCCTGGGAGCCAGGCAGGCGGCATCACTGTGGCAGGGAAGCAACCTCCCCAAGAGCAAGACTGGCAGCTCTGCTACTGGGGAGGCTTCGCTGCAGACTCTCCAGTATAAAGCTTATTACTGCAAAACCTGCAGCGTGTCACCACTGAGATTTTCAGTGGTTACATGGTTATCTATTTAACCAACTTTTTAACATCCCTAATGGAAACAATCCCATCCAACCAGGAGTCAAATTGAATTGGCACTTCATATGCCATACTGGCGCTTTTTTTTTTTTTTTTTTAAGATCTTATCTTTAAATAAAATAAAATGGTTTTGAGCTCTCTTGGCTTCAGAACAAATCTTGTAAATGTGAAGTAATGCAAGAGGCAGTCTCAGTATATGCCAACAGAAGTGACTGATCTGCATCCTTGTTACTGAAATAACTGAAGTACAAGGAGGACCACACAGGAAAAATGCTAATTCTTCCCCCAGTAATCATTTTAGTGGAAATAATGCATCTTCTTAGCTTTCTGGATGGAATGCAAAGTACCAAATCCGTTTTCAGACTGACCTCTGTGTAGACTCAATACTTAATTGTTTTGTAATAGCATAATTTCTTAAGATAAACAAAATATATATTTTTTTAACTGTGTGGACTTCATGAGAATTTTCAACTTTTTTTAGTATTCTGACTTCACTTGCGGTTTTGATTTTAAAGATGTTTAATACAGCTTTTCCACTTTGTTTAGGGCAATCACAAGCAATACAACTTGATTGAACCAGGGGGAGTATACTATTTTACACTTTGGTCCGTTTGTATTTGGTCTCTGTATTTTTAACATCCTACCTACAAGTGAGAGGTAGAGTAATTGTACCTGATTGTATAGTATACATTTTTTTAATAGCCAGCACCATGTGTTTAGCCAGGTAGCGCTCTGCAGCCCACCAAAAAGGGGTCCACAGGTATCCAGGGGCCTGTAATAACAGCCGCTGTATTAAATAACATGGGAACAGACTAAGGATGTTAAATATAGATTACTGTACTAGTCAATGGAATTTCCGTTGACTACTCAAGTAGTCGATAGGCACTTCGGCATTCATCCTTTGAAATGTACAAGAGCCCCAACGGGGGTTCTTTTGTATTTCAAAGTTGGAACTCTGCATGTAGCCCAGGGCCAGTGGGAAGTCGCACTGACCCCAGGCTCCATGCAGCACTGCTGCTTTGAAATGCCACTTGGAGCCCGGGATCAGCTGGGGAGTCCCCAGTTGACTCTGGGGGTTCCATGCAGCACTGCTGCTTTGAGATGCCAGGCTCTGTGCAGCATTGCCGCTTTGAAGTACCCCTTATCCACCCCCCTTTGCTGCCTCTATTTGATAGAGGCAGCAAGGGTGGGGGGAAGCGACTAGTCGATTCTTCCTTAACATCCTTAGAACAGACGGACTTCTGACTGTTGCAGAAATTCAGCTCATGAGCCTAATACATCCTTGGATCATGTTGAGCTTAGCTGAACTATGTGCATTATGCAGGAAAATTATGGAGAAAATGTATTGTTGTCTTTAATTCTCCTGCTGTATTAGCAGTTGACAGGCTGAAGTAATCTAGCCACTGAAGAGACACAGAAGAGGACAGTACAAGCTTCTCTAGCCATATAGCCTTAATCCTGTAAGATACCACATTTACAAGTGAAAGTGTGAGTCTTTAATGAACTTGCCATTACCACTCCATGCATGATAAACCTGGCTATAAACATAAAGGTGACATTTACTAAGCTTATGTCTACACTAGCACTTTTGTTCTCAGAGTGTTTTTTAAATGCCACTAACTGACAAAAGTTTGACTGACAAAAGTGCCAGTGAGGCTAACACTGTGAGAGGGAGATGTTCTCTTGCCAACAAAACTACCACCACTTGTTAAGGCTGGTTTAATTATGCTGTTGAGAGAGGAGTGGCTACATGAGACGTTACTGCTGTAGCCGCACTACTGTACAGCTGTGCTGCTGTAAGATCTGCAGTGTAAACCTCTAAAGCTCCATAGCTCATTACTGGATCCCATAACTGTCTGATCTCCATTACTATTCAATACCATAAACAAAATCTACGCTAATGGTAACACTTGGCTATCTAATTCCTTTTCACCAGGCATGCTAAGCAGATGGGATGATAGCCAGAGATTTTTGTCTGACCATCCATACCTTGTATGTGAAGAAACTGCTAAATATCTCATTTTGTGGTGTTTTCACCTAGAAGCTGAACAGGTAATAGGCAAATCTTAAATTACTTTGAATCTGAATAAGGTACACATTTTCCCCTTTTATGCTACAGAAAGACTATCCAGATAGATCACAGTAAATGATTTCTCTATCTCTTTCCTTCCCCCCCTCCCCCCCCCGCCC